AATTAGCCGCGGAGTTATTTTTGAAAATGTTAGCCTCAGTGCTACACGCATCACCATGAATGGTATATACGAGAACATTGTGTCTTACCGATTGCTATATCTATCATTCGTCTGGAACATTGACGACGATGTTTCGTTTAGAAAAACCATACAGTTTGTGATGGCCAATCTTGTACATAGTCTTCTTTTGGAGTGTTTATAAATAATCGTCACTTTGATTCATGCAGATGCTTTCACAGAGTCAATTTGTGCTTTATATCGACGAAGTTTGATTTAAAAAAAAATCAACTGAGAAATCTTTGCTTATCCTGGACCAGTTGGGGTGTTCTACATCTACATCTCATGAACTATCGAGTGATCGCATAAGTCCAGGAAAAAAACAAACCACTCTAAAGAGTGTGGCACCCCTAGATGTTTTACGTTTTCCTAAGTGCAGTGAAATTGTATTACCGCAGAAATACGTGATCTTTTGCACATCATTTCGCTTGTTAGCTCGTGTGCAGCGTACCCAACTACGGATGTATGTTTAGTACATATATACATATCTGTATACGTGTACACATATATTATGTATATATACGTGTATATGTACACGTCAGATAACACGTGTTATATATACATATATACATGCATATATATGTAGATATGTGTACGTATATATACGGAAATCGTGCAAATTCAATAACCTGCTTGCAAAATCGTCGCGCACAAGAGTTATCTATGCACCAAAAGCACACAAGCCTGTAGAGAAATCTAAAAGTTGTATCCATAGAAATAGGAACGCAGAATTTCTATCAAACCACGGAGAAAAAGTTGATTCAATGGACGAAAACCTCGTTTCACGTACTTTGAAGGAAGTATGCTCGTGTGCAGGCAGATAATCTCTGCCTTTTCTCCTTTTCGCTTTGATTTTCGTCGAATGCATTCTTGTTTCCCAGCGGTTTGGAAGAATTTTTTACATTTTTCTTATGCTTTACATGCTCCATCAGTTCCTTTGAATCTCTTTGCCAACTTTCCCAAGATAAGGTGTCCTCTCAATAATTTGCCACGTGGATCTTTGCAAGAAACGTTGTCACCTAAAAGAACAAAATAAACGTCATGGAGGCAAGCTCATAAGTGAAACTACCGATTGAATCATACCCACTCCAGAAGGCAGCTTTGTGACTCAAAACTGGCCATTGAAAAAGGTGTGATTTTCTAGACAAGACTTCGACGTGAATGAGTTAATAATGTCACCGTTCGAGATTCGATTTAAATTCGCTTTTTATGCTTCGATAAATCAGAGTAACATTATCAAGAAAAAGTCAAGTATTTCTTACTTGCAGAGGCGTAAGTTTCTGCTGGTCATCATATAACTAGCTCTATGCAGATCAATTGTTCATTGTGAGCGTCGAGCATCGTGTGTCTGTTCAAAGTTCAATGCCGTAACTGTTTGTTTTCGGGCACATATGCATAGCAGTCAGTGATTACGATTACGAATGTATCACTGAGAACTATATGTGCAAATAAGGGAGTCGACGCCGTAAAAACCATTGCCCAAAAGCCGGTTAATCAAACATCAGCATAACATCGCGTAAAGTTCAACGAATTGCTAAAAAAAAAAGAATTTCTTGTGAATTAAAACTACGAAGTGAAGTTGTTAAGTTTACCTGTATCACCTGTCGTCTCGTTGATCGTCGAGTGACTCGAGCGGGTACCAGCAACTCTTCCATTTTTCCCTATCGCGTGCAAGAGTAGCCCAGTGGGTCCTCCTCGCTCTAGGGATTCGCTGAGCATCATATCTTTCTTCTATCGCTTTCGTGAAGAAATCGGACCAACGGGTCAGTGCTTTTCCTTCAGAGCGCTTGACGTCCCGAGGAATCCAGTCGGTAACGACTCTCGTCCATCGGTTGTCGTTGAAGCGCATCACGTGTCCAGCCCACCTTATTTTCGATATCCTGGCGTGTAGAACGGCGTCTTTGATTTTCGATCATTGACGTAGGTCGGAATCATTTGCGAGATACGGGATACTCCTAGCATCTACCTTTCGACTGCGCGTTCGATAACGGCAAGTGATCTTTCATCCTGCTTACGTAGCGACCAGGTTTCTGCGGCATACGTTAGGGCAGGGATAATTGTCGAGTCGAAAAGGTGGGCACGGAGTCGGATGTTCTTTGTCCTCTTCACTACATCTTCGATGCTCTTAAACGTTCCCCAAGCCGCTCGTTTCTCCTGCTCAACTCGAGCTAGGTCGTTCATCATGTTGATTTCACAACCTAGATAGACGTAACTGGAGCATTCGGAGATTGTCGTTCCGTTCAGCGTGAATGGGGCATTGAAAACCAATCCGTTCCTCATGAACATTGTTTTCGTTAGATTCAGTTGAAGACCAATCTTTCTACAGGCGTTATCGAAATCGGTCAACATTCGTTCCGCTTGGCTGATGTTTGGTGTTATGAGAACGATATCGTCAGCAAAGCGAAGATGGTTTAATTGTCGACTGTCAATTTTCACTCCCATTTCGTCTCATTCTAATGTTTACATGACGTTTTGTAGGGTGGCAGTGAATAGTTTTGGCAAATTTGTATCGTCTTGTCGAACCCCTCTTCTTACGTCGATGGTAATATTGTTGTAGAATGGAGATATTTTGGTCGTGAAATCTTTATAAAGCTCACGAAGGATCATTATGTACCGAGTAGGGACGCCCTGGTTATCCAGAGCCTCTATAACCGCTTCTGTTTCCACTGAATCAAAGGCTTTCTTCAGATCGATGAAAGTGAGACAGAGTGGTTGTTTGTACTCTCGTGAAACTTCAATGAGTCTTGTAGTCGTGTGGATGTGGTCCACACGAACTAGTCCACGGACCTCCCTCTTCAAGGGATTCCGCCCGGTTAGTCGCGAGGGCACGTGGCGCGTCCCCAGGTGGTGGATAGGGGAATAAACGCGAACCAAAAGCGACCGTGTGCTTCCCAGAGACGCAGGTGGATTCAGGGGAGAACAACCCTGCTTTTGCAGCGCCGACTTGACAAAAACTCTATTTCTACGAGTCAAGTCGGCCAAAAGCCTGCAATCAAGCGGCTGGGAAGTACATGGGAGGCGGTTAGGAGTCGCCTCCAACAAATAAGCTCCTCCCGCTCCTCCGAGAGAGACTGTCAAGCTACTCGTGACTACCTAGCCCCCACGTTTAGAGCCTGGCAAGCTATACGTTGGTTATCAAAATGCCAAAAACAGCAACAAATATGGGCCTCATTCCACCTGACCCCGAAAGAGCCCCTGGTACGGCAGCGCCAGGTAGGACGAGTACGGAGAGGCTGCTAAAATCTCAGGGCCGAACTAGGCTGCCAAGATCGAAACGGACTAAAATGACGATCTGTACCTACAACGCAAGAACCCTTGCGCACGAATCCGCTGTAGAAGATCTATTGATTCGAGCTAGAAGAATAAGTTATGACGTCATTGGCCTTCCTGAGACGAGAAGGCGCCATCCTTTTCACGCTGTTTATGAAACCGGAGAAGAAGAACTGTTCCTTGTTAAGTTAGTGTTTGGAAAATAGTTAGTTCACCGACACATTGCCGTAAAGAAAAGCTGTTAGAATTCTTCTTTCGGTTGCTAATAAAAAAGCGTCCTAAGTGCTTAACCCTTTGAGTATGTCACACCTTCAGCCCTGCCTTGCCGCTCGCGAGATCACCACTCGATACACACACTGCTCGCGGCGCGCAGCAAGGCGGGCTGGCGGCGTGTCCTTGTCGTATCCAACGGGTTAACTCATTAAGCGAAGTTTTGATTAAGTCTTTTCGTTCAAAGTTTGTAAAATGAATCCTCGAAATTTTCTATATCAAATTTTGTGCAGTTTAAAAGTAAAGATTTGAGTTTTCTTCTTGAAAAAGTATACTTCTGTACCAACTTTAGCCGCTAATCTGTTGAGTGATTGCAAAGAGCGGCTTGATGATGTCTTCAAGTGAATTCCATGATTTTTCTTCCCAAAATTGAGTGAGTAATTGCCAGTTTGAATTTCCTAGGTTGTGGGAACTCTAGCCGCACTTTTAGATAACTACCGGTGGTTGCGAAAATATCAAAAATACCCAAGATTTTTGGGAAATTTCCGAGAAGGAGCTCAATTTCAAACGTCTTTTTTGAAAAGTGTTATTCTATAAGTTTATCAACTTCAAATGAGAATATTTTTTGTGATGATTCAGGCAATAGTTCCGTTTATAGGATAAGAAGAATGGTGTCGACTCGCGCGAAGGTTCATGTGAGCGTGGCGACTGTGCTCTCCAGAAGTCATGCTCCTTATCAATTAGTACTAAGTATGTTTTTCTTTGGTTTTATTTTCTCAAAATTTTCAACTTTATGTGCAGTAAATCTAATTATTTTACCTCTTTAGCTGTTTGAAAACGTTGACAGACGCTTGTGGAAGGAATTTCTACCACATCACCAAAGGCGAACATGTGTGCGGAGTGTGTTATGATGACCTCTGGAAATTGTGAGACTTTCCCTCTCAGCACGTTGGGACCACTGACCCAACCCTCTGCGTCTTTTACTGTGTTGCGTCTAACCCCCACCGTGCCGTTGTTAGACGCAACAGCTTACCATTGTTAGACGCAGCACACCGGGGGTTAGAAAAGCAGAGGGTTGAGTTAACGGTCGCGAACGGCTCAAAAGCAATGTACATCTAGGCCCATATGAGACAATATGTCATGTGTAAAAATTTAGTAATCATGTGAGAAAGTACGGCTAAATGTAATATGTGAAGTCGTTATTTGTACTGCTCTCTAGCAGTGTAATGATTTTTCAAATACACATTTAGGAATGTTGAACGATATGCAAAATATTCGACCCCTGACAGGAGTTGAACCCTCGTTCCACTCATGTGGGCGGCGTATGCTAACACTACACTATTGAAGTCACCGCTTTGCTACCATTCTTCCTTCAGTATATACTCTCGTGGCTATCAACATCGAATCTATAATGGGGTTGGTAAGGTAAGCATATAATAAGTAAAGAGTGGAACCAAAAAAGTGGCTTCGGTGGTGAAGTGGTAGCACGCGCCTCTTATGGAGGAAACGCGGGTTCAACTCCCGCCTTGAGTCGAACGTTTTGCATAGATACTCGGTATTCTTAATTGTGTATTGCTAGAAAATTTCAATGTCCTATGCTCTTAACGAAGTATAATTTTGACTAGTTACACACAAATCGTTGATATTTTCACGTTGCTGCGACCTAAATTGACTTTCTTTCAACAAGTATATCATGCCGAAGTCCTCACACGAGTAATCACCGGTTCTTTCTTTAAATGCTTTTTTTTACAGTGGTCACTCGTATGCTCAAAAGTTTGCGGAATGGAAAATAGCTTGGTGCAAGATGAGTCGATGTTTTTCCAACTCCCAGATTCTTTGTCCAGGTATACTACGAAGAACGTAGCCTTTTTTTAAAAGATATTATCGAAAATGTCCAATCAAGAACGTGTAATTTTAGGATCAGTTATTACCTTACTGGTTAGAATGTCCTTTGTGCAAAAAATTCCGAAAGCTCTCTCTTGATTCGATGGTAGTAATCTCAACTTCTGACATAGAAGACTTCCGTTGTAGTGATTGCAGCATTCCAGAAGATAAGGTTGGGCCCAGTTTCAAACTTGATTAATGCGGCGTTACAGAAAATTCTATGCATTACAGCTTGCTACTGATGCTCGTCATCCGAACTGGATCCTATCTGCCTCAGTTCCTCCTTTGTTACACAATTCCCCTTCGCTACATTATCTAAGAGATCACTACTATCTAGATGAAGTTGGCATAAGCCCCACCGTAGCTAATTACCCGTGTTCAGACGGTCAGTTTATGTGTTGAAAGCCTTGGTTTTTTGCTTTCCTGTAGTCACAAATCAAAGTATATTGAAAAACCGAACTGTAGGTTGAAGATTGCGTTAACCTCAAAGCTGGGTAATTAATTAATTAAGGAGCATAGTTGCCGAATGTATGGTGCTCGTCGCGGCTTGCGTAGGCTAAGTCGCACCTCCCAACACTCTCCGGTATTCAACAACAGACACCCTATGGAACGCCACAGCCAGGATATACTCGAGATTGCAAAGAGACGAGCTCAGCCGGCATTCTACGACGTTCAGGAAGAAGGCGAAAAATGAATTGAAAGCTGGAAGTATTGGTATCCTCACACTGAGAAAAAGAACGGATCAATGAAGTGCCAAAATATCGCGTTGAAAAAACTCTCGAAAGAGGGGTAGAGGGGCGGAGGGCTAGCTGGCGGCAGTGTAGTTGCTGTGGCCTTTGATGAACGACGAAATTCGATTTCATACGCGGCAGATGCACAGAATTTTGAACCAAGCATTGTGGGGTATTGCGGTTGGTGTGGCCTTCATAGAGGTCATACCAAGCTGGGCAGGAAATCAGGTGTCGTTGCGAACATGATTAAAGATAACATGTTCCTATGGACTGTGCATCTATATGGTATGGAAATATCTACAGATTTAAAAAATTGTTGCAAAAGTCCGGCGACAGGTCAAACAGGTGAGAATAATACAAGTATTTGAATCAAAATAAAAATAGTTGACCACTAATGTAAAAAATGTTCGAAATTTCTAGTATTTTACTGCATTCCTCGCAGTGTTATGACCTTTCACATAATCCAAAGAGAATTGAGTGGTGAGCAAAAACACGGCCTCAGGCGGGAATCGAATCTGCGTTTCATCCTATCCGGGGACGCATGCTCAACCTCTACACTCCCGAAGCACATTTGCGCCATCACTCGTTCTCCAGCATCTCTATGTCAACTATCAGCCACCAACCTTTAACAGGTTTGGTCGGGTATGCGATTTCGCTTTATAAACCCGGTTGAACTGATGAGTTTCGTCCCCGCATAGGATGAAACGCGTGTTCGACTCCCGCCTGAGGCCCTGCTTTTGCTCGTCACTCAATTTAGTTTGAACTGATGTAAGAGTGAAACTTCTATCCTTTGCTCATATAGAACTCTCTACTTCGTCGTTTATGGCACCATTCCACATTCCTGAAGAGCCAATGGCTTTCTGTGTTCGTCCGGATGTGATGGAATACGATGAAGTGGTACGCGAAAAATGCTAATACTGTTGCTTTCAGTGTTTATTTTGATTTCATTCATTCACAATGCTTAACCCTTTCGAGACGGCAGTTGATCGATGCTCAGCGCAACTCGCAAGAGGCGCGCGATTTTCGTTATTCAGTCAGAGTTTTTCCTCCAGTTGGAAAATTAAGCCTTAGGTTTTTTGTGTAGCTCTGATTCTCCATGATTTTCTCTACATGTTCATATGTTTTCATCTATATGTGACTCTTCTGTACGATGAAAACTTTGAGTGCGTGAACGCAATCTTCTTTTCGCTCTTATGGCGCTTTATGATAACCTTTCGAACGACCGATTACATCATCAAAATTATCGACATTTGGGCTATCGAATGCCTAATGAGAGTTTGGCGAAGAGCCATATACAAGCCCCAGCCGAGCAAAGAAGTAGACTGAGTGTGAAGCATAATGTTATTTTTGCTCCAACAACGTAATAAAAGGCTTTTTCAAGAAACAAACATATTGTTGAAATCACAGAAATCTAAGCTTTCGATTGATTACTAAGTGTTCAAGAGGAAAGTTTTGCCCAGCTAGAAAGGCCTTCAAATAATTGTGTACCTCAGCTGGTAACACGTCGTCCTTCAGGGTTTGAGTACTGCTTCGATCTCCATGCGCATCAAATCTTACCAAGCTTTTGGTTTCAGAAACGTTTCCCTCAGTACTCTGCTGAGCCAATCATATATCTTGGCTTAAGAAATCACATCATTTCACTATGGAATATGAACCCTTATGTGAGTTCCGTTTTCCTTTATGTTACGGACGCCATTTTACTGGAATTTAAGTGGTATTTTCAGGAGCATCTCACGTTGGAGCATTGCAAAAACCGTCTAATTTCTCGTGGGTTGTGCCGCGTATGGCAAATCCAAGAGCTGAAGAAGATATACGAGTATCTCAATATGAAGTCAATAGTTAATATAGGCCTTGTTAAAGTGCCAGTACCTCCCGTAGTAAAGTTAAAAGTAAGTTTTATTTTCACTTTCCCTATCTGTCGCTTTATTATCTCTACTGCGTTTGCTTCATGGTTTTTATGAGTTCTTTTAAAGCGCTCCCCAAGTGTGATTGTAATTGGTGCTGGGATTAGTGGACTAGCGGCTGCTCGTCAACTGCGCTCATTGGGAACGAAAGTGATTTTACTGGAAGCTAAGGACAGACCAGGAGGCAGGATGCAAGTGGGTTTTTTGCTATTCCGTTATCTCAAAATCTAAGATAGATCTGAGTATAAGGATAAAGGGTAAAGCTCTCGGCATTGATTAATCCTCGAGGGATACGCCATGCACTCCTCTTCAATTTTCAACTTCGTTTGAGGTTATTGAATGCATATCTGGCTTTTACGCTAACTCGTGGTGGCTTCCCGCTATACGGGATCAGTGCTGCTTATCCTCCCAAACAATTTTGAGACCAGTCTGGTACAGATTTACTGACCCCGAAGGGATGAATGGCTTAGTGAGCCACGAGCGTGAGATCGAACCATTGATCTCGTGTGCGACGCACAGCACCTTTAACCTAGTATAATCTGAATAAATTCTTTATTTTCTGGCTTTTTAGCAGTGGTATGATATTATAAATACACATTTGAGAATGTTGAGTGGTATGCAAAGCAATCAACCCGAGGCAAGAGTTGGATTTGCGTTCTATCCAAACCGGAAGCGCGTGCTATCACTGCTACACCGATTCTGTGGATTATATATATATATACATATATATAAGGGGTGTCAGCTTAATTGGTTTTGATGCCGTATGTGCTTACCCGATCAAGCCCGTTAGAAATTGGTTGGTTACGGCTGTGATAGTTTATATAGAAAAAGAAGTAGCGAATAGGTGGCCTCGACAGTGTAGCTGTAGCTTGTGCCCCAGGTCTGAGTGAAACGCTAGTTCAACTCCCTCTCGGAGCAAACGTTTTGCATACACTCAGCATTCTTATGAACCCAGATGTTTTAGGATGACTTAAGTCTTGGAATTCCTGTTGGTCGAGGTGCTCAGCTCATTACTGGTATGATCAACAACCCAATCGTTATAATGTGTAACCAGGTAGGGTCTTGTGTACGTCTTCGTGTGTTTTGAGGTAAAGTGTTTGAGTTATGTTTGCGTTCCCAGGCAAACATAAGTTACCGTCCGCTCCACCGTGAATGTGCTATGATGGACTCGGTCTTGGGAAAGGTTATGAATCACAGAGTAAGTAGCTAAACTCATTAACTACTGTCAGTTTATCAATCATTTTTGTAGCGGTTTTGCTGTCTTTTATTGTTATATCCAGACTTTATAATTCTTTATACTTCACTCTTTTAGATCGATCGAATAGCTGATGAGCACTGGAATTGCATACATGACATCCTGGGACACTGGCGTTCCCATACAAAAGGGCCCGATCGTAGTCTCATGGGTCAGTTTGATAACACACAAGATAGCATGCATGAATTGTTATCTATATGTCAGAAGTCACTACAAAGAGCTGTTTTTAGTTATTCGTAATCTCAGTCCATTTTAAACCCTTTAGAGTCAAGGTTGTTTTCCGCTTTTGCAGACTTTTAGTACACGCTCGGTAGCCCTGAACTCGGCTATTTCAGCTTTGTATTTAGTCTGATAACATATCTTGAGCCTTTCATGAGGTGTGTGTTATGGCACTTTTACAGTGTGGCATTACAGCCTCATCAGCAGCACGGTGCCTTTCGTTTTGACCAATCCCTTGCACGGGATCCCCTCTATCCCCGTTGATTCCTCTATATGTAGGCCTACGAGAAATCGGCTCAGACGAGAGACACCGTGCTATTGATGAGGCTGCGATGCCGAAACACGTGTATAGCACTGAATAAGTGCCATAACGGAACTCATGAAAGCTCAGAATGTGTTATCACATTGTATATGGTTTTGAGCGAGGTCTAGAAAACCAGTCGAATTTAAAGGTATAGCTTTATTTAGTTCTCAAAAAAGTCTTGTTAATGCGCTGTAACAGCGAGTACAGAATCACATTACACACTCGACACGCATTTTC